CACACACACACACACACACACACACACACACACACACACACACACACACACACACACACACACACACCTCTGGTATGGGGTTCTCTTTGCTCCATTCTCTCTGACATATTCCACAAGCTGCTTCTGTGTCCGTCCACTGACAGAAAGAATATTCAGTTATGGCCTGAATCGTGTTGTCAATGATAAAATAGAAATTTTCCCATTTAACGGTGCAAATGAATTTCTTACAAAACAAATAATAAAGACAAATCCTACTGTCTGGGTCAAGAGTTCATACCTGTATCTGAAGGAGGAGCCTCGAGTGAAAAGGATTGCTTTGGATTTGGGCACTGGCTGATCAAACAGGCGAAAAAATGAGTGGTACTCCACACAGATCTTCCAAAAGTTTTTACACTGGTCTCGACTGGCCATCATGAATTCAAGAATGTCTTGATAGGGGCCCTGACGTGAAGATTAAAAAGAAACCTTATAATCGTAAAGACGTGTGAGAAATCTGAAATAAAGTATTGATCTTTTGATGAAAACTTACATGAACCTCTGTGTAGAGTTTGATCAGGAACCGTTTTCTCTTGAAGCTCAGTTTGCGAATCTTAGACCAGTTGAAGGTGTTTATTTTAGTGTTGCCCTGTGAGAGAATCGGTGAAGAAAAACAACTATAACGGTTAACAGCGTTATTAAATGGTGAAGTCAAAGCGGGTATTAAAGCAGTGATCACCTGAAAAACCTGAAGCCCCATGTGAGCGACAGCCAGATTGATTTTGGTGCCCTCCCGATCAGCTGCTGGGTGGAAGCGGACGCCGTACATTTCCAGTTTACGGGCGATTTCCAGGATTTGGAAGTCTGATTCAGCAGGAGTCTGGCCTCTGAAAAACAAAAGCATCAACAATTGATGAGGACGACAAAGACCACCTTTGTTCCACTGGACTAAACTCTTAGTGTCTGGACCAAGCTCTGGCTGTTCTAAGGACTGTTCCGGCCCCCACATACTCGGGTGTACTTCGGTCCGCAGAGGTCCACTCGGACTCAAGGTGGACGTCCACAGGACAGGTCCACACAGAGATTAGTTTTTATGTCCTCAGTGTCGCACAATAAACTGCCCAGCGAGTTCACATTTAACTGTTTGGAACGCAACACCAAGCAGATAAGTTGAGAATCAATGTATTTGTGGAAGAAATGGAGTCAAATTTTTAAGAGCGTCTCACAGAGGACATTACAAAGCAAAGAAACTTTATGATGCATCATTGAAAGAATATAAGGACTTCTTTCAGTGAGCAACACATTTAGTAAGGTAAGGTAAGCTCATTTCTTTTGTTTTAAAGCTAAAATACTAATCTATTCCTCCTCACGGGGTTAGGTGAAAAAAAATTGCCAAAATTCTCTTTTATTTTTTCATGAAAGGGAACAAAATGTGAAGTGACACTGATTGTAAAAGAGACTCACTAACAAATCGACAGCTCTGCAAGCTGCCTGTCAGTCTATGGACACATTTTGCTAAAATTAAAAAGATGAGTTCCAGACTACCCCACACCTGTGCATTGGCCCCACACGGTAAAAATTTATAGATCATTTTCATCATTGTTTAAGCCACAATGTTCAAAGCCTGTGAAAAAAGTAGCAGCTTATGGTCTGTAAATTACAGTACCTCATGATTAGTCAGCTGTTCCCACAGTCTGTGTCTTCCCAGTTTTTCCCATAATGTGTGAAAACATGGCTGGAAGCAACAACAGGTATGAGTGGACTGACAGCATACAACATCACCTATACTGGTTGACCTGATAGATCAACTGCAGCTTGACGAGAGCAACACATTCCTGAACACTTCTCTCCATTGTCCCGAGATGGGTGATCTCTGCTAGTCTGAAACCTCTACTTCCTGTTTATTACAGCCATGCACAATGTCGACATCTGATGTAATTACAATTTGGTTAGCCTGGTGGATTCGCCCCAAAACAGTAAATGGAAACACGGAATTTGCATTTCTTTCTTTTTTTTTCTCATTTTTACAACATTTTAAAAGTTTGCTCAAAATTTGCATTACAATTGAATGGAAACATGGCTACTGTATTGTTAGAACATTTTAGACTTATAACTATACTATGTTAACTTTAGGGGTGTCTCAATCCGATATTGATATCGGATATCGGTCCGATATCAGCCAAAAAATGAGTATCGGATTTTATCGGCCTGCATAAAAAATGTCCGATATCAGCGCTCCGATATTAGCAGTCCGTTCCAGCAGTTCACTGACTCCGCTCCAGTGTTTCTATCCAGCAGCACTTGGATCCAGCATGCAGAGCTCACGTGATCACAACAACATGCTGCGCTAACAAGTTAGCAAGAATGTCGGCAGAACTTTCTATTTTCATCAGAAACAGAGTTGAAGCTAAGTGCAAAGTTGTCCTGCACAAGTTTTCCATGGGAGCACAGAACCGTGAACGTTTTAAACCGGAGCGACAACTACTCTCCACCCTGGCAGCAGCTTTGCGGTTCGGCTCGGTTCGTTCAGCCTCGGTCCAGTGACCGCACACAGCCGCGCTGTTTCGGGACCTCCTCTCTGGTCCGGTCGGTGGTTCTAAGCTGGCAGAAGCGAGGACAGCACGCTTACAGTTTTGACATCCCGTGGATTAGCTCTGTGTTGATGGACAGAAGAAAGGAGAGCGCAGCTTTTGTTTTGGAATATGAGCGCGACATGACGAGAGCAGTGATAAAAACTGCTCCCTGCAGGAGCGAGAGGCTGATCTCCACATGATGCTCAGACTATAGAAAGTGGAAATTTAGCACTAAGAAAGGTAGCTATCAATTTAAATAACTAATTCTTACTATTTATTTTTTGCTCTTGTTATTAGAGTGATGTTTAATCTGTTTACACACTTGTTTGAGTGAAGATTAAGTGCAATGATCACGTTGTTTTAGTTACAGTCAGTAAAATTGGAGCTATGGACTCTTAACTTTGAACAGACAATAATGTGGGCTTTTGTTTTGTCCCAACCTTCAGTTTTTTCCACCATAAAGCAGCACCAGGCTGACAGGTAGTAAAACAATAACCGAAGTGATTTTGAATTATTATTTTATCCTTTAAAAGAACATTTTGTTTTTATTATGTTATTTTTTCAGGGCATTGTAATTTATTTTATTTATTAAATTGTAGAATGTTCTTCAGTTTAAAATGCAGGCCTATGTGATCCATTGGTTAAAAATAAATGGGTCAGTTTTTCTCATATCTACTCTTTTTCACTGTTTGACTTGATCAAGAATTTTCTAAGATTTTACACTACAAAATAGGTAAAAGTGTGTGACTTGTACTGTTACGGTAACGGGTCAATATCGGTATCGGACAACTCTCAAAGTTGTAATATCGGTATCGTATCGGAAGTGAAAAAGTGGTATCAGGAGATCCCTAGTTAACTTATGTTGTTGACATTTTGTTATCAATTACTCATTTAGGTTATATATTCACTCAGCTTGTCAGCATTATATTATGTACACATTCTACAGACACAGTAGCTTTAATAATTCAACTTTCAGTGTTGGATTAAGTTTTTATAATTTGGGAAATATTTTCTAAGACGATACAGAAGGGCAGTCCAAATATCAATCAGTTCTTCTGATTAGGAAGACAAACCAAGTTATATCTCTGGAAACGCTCATGATATCAGGATGATCCAGGTGTCAAAATGTAGCTTAAAAAGCTGAAATTTGGAAACGTGCTTTGGACAAAATTTGACTTAATCCTAAGTTTCATGTGATGGGCCACATATGTCCATAAAAGCGTCCAGTTGATATTTTTTTATTCCATGGTCAACGTATGGCAGCGTGTTGGACAATATTTTAGGATAAGTTATCTAAAACATGGGCTTTAAGCACCTCAAACACAGCTTCCCAATTGAAATTCCTTTATATAATTATGAACGTTATTAACTGCATCTTTTCCAGTTAATTTACCTCATACCATTTAGTATCATGTTATTTATACCAAGTAGCAAATCCCTTAGAAAGCAGAGAACTTAATTTAATCTAAAATCATGTTATTACAACCAACCAGCATGTTAGGAGGACATATCCATCCAATCATCACTCCATTCTAATTTTGTTCATCCGTTAAGCGGTCAAATCTCCTTAGAGCCCTCCCCTGCCCCACTGGCCTTATGGCTAATAGACAGTCCAGAGCAGAGGATTAGGTCAGGAGAACGCTCTGCTTCTGCTTCCACACTGGCAACCCAGAAAAGAGATTAGCAAGTCTTTAGAACAGCCTTTAGTCTTTAAGAGCTTTTTTTCCCAACACTTGATTGAGAAAAAAAACAGCTCTGTTGGCCATAGGAGGGAACTGTGATTCCATAGAGACTGTGGGAAACATGAGGTGAAGAGCTCTCTCTGAGCAGAGGAAAAAACACAACTTGTTTATGAAGAGCACAACTGTCTCAGATAAGTGATCCTGTCACTGAGATCACTTAAATTAACAATGTGTCATAATTTATTAATTCAAACCCCTGCTTGTTTAACACTGATTGATGGATCTGAACTGAAATATGAGGTGTACCAAAAACAGAAAGAAATAATTAGTGAATGATAGCCTTTCAAACATGTATCCATGCAACCCCAGGCAGAGATATAAATAAAAAGTTAAAGTCTACACAGATCCTATTGTTTTTAAATAGACATACTGTATTCATACGGTCTTTGAGCGGAGGCATTTTGAGTTTTATATACTTAAACGGGTCAGCCAAAAATGGGTTTGAAGCTAAATATACATATTTTTAGCAGACATTAAACTATATATAATGAATTAGGATGATAGGAGGTTGAATGATATGCAATTTGAAATGTTTCAGTACAGATACAGGTTCTTAATACGTTATGAACAAGATAAATCCATACCTCTGAAAGACCTTACACTCACTTTAACGCAACAATTATTTTATACAAAGCAAATAGTGGTAAGTATAAGATAACCTGAAGGACATTCGTGCTTAATATATGTTCAATCTTTTATTCTGAAGTTCAACTGCTGTATATACTGTATGTCCAGTCTTTTATTCTGAAGTTTACCTACTGGTTTAACTGTTGTATACATGTCCAGTCTTTTATTCTGAAGTTCACCTGCTGGTTTAACTGTTGTATACATGTACAGTCTTTTATTCTGAAGTTCACCTGCTGGTTTAACTGTTGTATACATGTCCAGTCTTTTATTCTGAAGTCCACCTGCTGGTTTAACTGTTGTATACATGTCCAGTCTTTTATTCTGAAGTTTACCTGCTGGTTTAACTGTTGTATACATGTCCAGTCTTTTATTCTGAAGTTCACCTGCTGGTTTAACTGTTGTATACATGTCCAGTCTTTTATTCTGAGCAGGGTGGGAAGTGTTTTGGAATGGCACAGAGGTGCTATGGTGAAATAAAATATAGATGTTCATTGGTAGACTGTAGTCTTATAATATTACTACACTTATTTATAGTAACAAATACCCTGCATGTGTCATTTCATACCAATAGGATATAAATCTGTTACCATTTTGTACCCATTTGCTTATGGTATGTAAGTGTTCCCACAACCATGCATTAACATACCATTACAGCACCAACTTGTCACCAATTTGCAGAGGATTAAGTCCATTTTTGGACCACACAGAGGTCCAAAATAAAAATCAAAACACCAAAATACTAATAGTCTATTATGCTCTACGTTCTATGATAAGTAACAGTAAGTGCTTACAACACTGTCACAACAGTTACTTGTGTGTAATAGCTGGGTCACTGTGTGTAAAATAGTACATGCCAAATGGATAGATGGATGTAGTGATTTGTAATGTTTTGAAATATAATTTGTTTATCTTTGCTGGCAGGTGAATTCCTCCCTTCTGCAACTAAAGGAGGAACTTCCCTAACTTCTTTTCAACTTCTGCTATTTCTCAGGTGCAATATGTGAAGTGCACACACACACACACACACACACACACACACACACACACNCACACACACACACACACACACACACACACACACACACACACACACACACACACACACACAAGGCAGACGTATTTAAACAGATGTTGTATGCCTGCTCGTGTTTTCATGCAAACATTAAACTGTCAAATTATTTTATGAGCTTAATGAATGGTTTGAATAAAACTGCCTTTTTTATATTACTTCTTTATTGAGCTCTGGGGCTACAACCCTGAATGTCCTGGTCTAACCATGTCAACTGGAGTAATACTAATAAATGTGGTCAAAATCCACTCATCTTCATTTCAGAAGTGTACTCCAGTGGACTGGATCAGAATTTTAATCGTGTGGTATAAAGAAAATTCACAATAACGTCTATTTTGTGCACACAAATCTTGTTTTTATTAAAAATGACTGAGGTTGTATGTCAAAATTACTAATTTGAACAATATGATTTGGCAGAGGTACAAGCTAGCCTACAGCCAACACTTTGTAAATGGTCAATTCATTCCAAGAGGGGAAATGTGCAAATTTCAATTCTGAATAAACTACACGAATGTTTCATCTTTACTGAAGCCATCTTTACAGAAAGCAGAGGGGGGAACTTACAGATGTATGCGATGGAGCTCCATGATCTTCTCTTGCACTTTGTCTTGGTAAGGCAACAGCTTGTTTGTCCTCAAGAAATCCATGTCTGCTACATCATCATAGTCTCCAATCTCCGCTGTTAGTTAAAGAGCAGAGCATCAGATTTTTATTTCTTCACAAAGTAAATATCAGTTAGGAGACTCTGAACCACGTCATTATTACAGCTTTTATTTTTTTGATATAAGCAAACATTAGATTTGCTCTTTATAATTAATTCTTCCTTACTAAAGTTTAACATAACTTTTAAAGTATTTAAATTCAAATGGGCTTAGCTGCCTTCATTCATAAAGTTTGAAACAAGACTAATGACACAAACATGTACAACAAGTTTTTACTGTAGTTAAACCAGCAGATATAAACTTACACTGAACAAGGTGGGAGGCCAGCAATGCTCCAGTTTTCTCTGTGCAGATCAACCTGCCCTCCATCAGATCTCTTTTCATCTGCAGAGAGAATAGATACCTGTTGGGAAAGAAAAAAACAGCTTAGTCCCAATTTGTTCCTGTTTAACAACAAATATGTTTAACAACACTAAGATTACACATCCCCTTTAAAGTCAGATTTTGTGTAAAAAACAAACAAACAAAAATAACTCTTACTTGTTGTAGATGGCTGACTTCTCAATTAATTCCAGACTAAAAGTTAGTTCATCTGTGTTATCAGACTTTATTTCTATGAAGAATGGTAAAAAAAAGGGCTGAACTTATATAACACTTTATCAAGTCCCTCTGGACCCCAAAGCACTTTACACTTACACACATTCACACACTGATGATGGTAAACTACACTGTAGCCACAGCTGCCCTGGGGCACACTGACAGAAGCGAGGCCGCCATGCACCGGTGCCAGCGGACCCTCTGACCACCATCAGTAGGCAAGGCGGGTGAAGTATATTGCCCAAGGACACAACAACCGAAGCAGCTGGACGGGGGATCGAACCGGCGACCTTCCGGTTCCAGAAAGACTCCCCTAACCACTCCACTAAAGCCGCAAATAGAAGAAATAAAGTCTGACAGGACAGATGAACTATGAAGAAATAAACTATAAATCAGGGCTATTCAACCGGTGGCCCCCGGGCCACATCCAACCTGTGAGTGACCAAAGTTTGGCCCGCCCATTGGTTCATTCATCTCTCAAGTCCAAACCCCTGGTTTTCTACTTTAATTACTTTAAGTTCTTTTAGTTAGACATAGATGTTTGGTATCTACAGAAACATCAGATACTTGGCTACAAGCTGGTAAAAAAACATTTCTATGAATACTCAAGACATTTAAAATTACAAGCAGTTGAAGATAAAACTAGGAAAGTAAAAAAAAAAATTGGTTTAAAAATTTGGCAAGTCAGAGATGTCAAAATATTATTTGCGTCAAATATGAGATGTAATGTGTCCTTTTTGTTTTTGATATTGTTTAATTATCACTACTTTTATAGGGTTCTGTATGTTGTATTCATGATTAAATGCAGCAAAATAAACTATTTCAAAGCTAACAGATCTTTGTAATACTTGATTTATTTACATAATGACTTTAATTGCTGGATGTTTGGCCCCTGAGCTGCTGGCCTGCAGTAACTGTGGCTCCCGGAGTAATTTAGTTGAATAGACCTGCTATAAAGTAAAAGACACAATATTGGAAAAATGTCCAGTATGCAGTATTTTCAGTTTAATACAGCCATGATGACATAAGCTGCAATAAACCCACATTTCATCACTCTTCAATGTTGTCATCACCATCATGTAAACCAGGTGTGAGCATGAAGGCCCCTGAGTGTTCGTTAGACCCACTACATATATTATTAGCAGCAGGTAATGACAGCTTGGTTCTTGAAACTTAATGTCCTACAATTTATTGAGAGTTCAAGCAGTCATATTGTGTCCAGTGATTCTGCCACGATTAGAATACTGTATAACTCAAGCTCCATTTCTCCAAACTGAGGTCTTTTAAAAAGCTTTGTGGATGGTGAGTGTTTGAACTTTCCCACAAAGACCCACTTCAAGCTAAGTGTATACTTTAAGTGTATACTTTGAGTACTCAAAAAGATAATTTTACTATAATTTTAAATTCCTCTACAATTTTAAACTATGACCTGTCAGAAAAACCAGTTTGTTTCTGTAACTCCAGGGCTCTGGCAGGAGGTCAAATAGAAAGAAAATGACAGTCACTAACCTGGTGTACTCCTCCTGCAGCTGCCCTGGGTCAGGTGGGAAAAACTTTACTGAAAGTCTTAAAAGTGTGTTGGCCGGTCCTGTAAAGCATAAAAACACTATGAATTAAAATCTTTATAAAATGGATTTGTCTTATGTTTTAGCTTGATAACTTACTTCTGACTTGCTTTGCAACAGGTTTTGTTGGTTCCAGCCAAACCTAAAAAGAAAATAAGTTTACTCTTCACAGCATTTGAAGCCCAAACGTCAAAAGATGGTGACAGCTACATTTAATAAGTGAATACAGACGAGGCAACATCTTTACAATTACAAAGAAGTATCAGTGTTGTAAAAAGATTCATTCACCGCCTTATTGAAGGATAAATATTTGAGGTTAAAATTAGGCTTGACTGACAGAGGAACACGAAACCTAACATTAGATGTGTTAAGAAATAAGTATTGCGTTAAATACATAGAGCATTTACAGTTTTAATGTACAACTATACCTGTGCAGGTCATAATGGAAAAAAATCTGCAAACCAAATCTGATCACATGGTTTTATGTTTGAGCTGAGCAGCTGCTGGACTCTTTAAATTACAGCTGACTTCTCACTAAAGGAGACCTGTATAGTTTATAAAAAAAACTCCTAGGAAGCTTTGCATACCACTTTAAGTTTCAAGGAGAATAAAACACTGGAAACTCTGATGGTTGAGAGCAGGCACTTGTGTTGAAGAAGTTAAAAATACTCCTTGGTTTACTCCAGTGAGAACAAATCTACCTCATTGTTTGCACTGCTAAAAAAAACTGCCAAGCTCACCAAAGGATTAGTGGAATAACTTAAAGATAGGCTTTGTTTAATTCAGGTCTTGTTATCACAATGTGACTAATTAATAATATGTACAGTACATCACGAGCTTCTACATTTAGAAACATGGTATGAATTACAGGGAGGAACGAGGTTTGTCTAATGTGATCAAGCTTAAGCTGCTGTTTTCCTTCAGAAATAACATGACATCTTTTTAAGAATGGTTAGTTGTTGCTAGAGGGTTTTCTCGGCACTGAACTTGTCATTTTAAAAGTAAATAACTAATCATCTGTTATAGAAATGCCGAATTAGCAGCAAATATCCATACATCAAAACATGTTTGTGCCTCTACAAGTCATGAAAATTAAAAATAGTTTTATGCATTATTCAGTTCAGTAGCACAAACTAAATTTCACCTAGAGTTAGTTTAAGCTGCGTTTTCTTGGTAGTTTGTCATTTTATTTTGTGTTTTCTGTAGTGGAGAATCTATTTGAGATTATTAGAAAGGAACAGAGAAATGAAGGATAAACCATTTGAGCTTTTGAAGTCTAAATATAACCAAGGTCTGTCCATTCACTGATCCATCTTCTACTGCTTCTTTGTGATCAGGTTGTGGGGGCAACAGGTCCAGGAGGAAACCCAGACGTTGTTCCTCTCACCCATTATAATCAATGGGAGCATTTACACTGCATCCGCAGGGCAGCAGGCACGAACTGTCAAAATTAGATTCAATTCTGCTGAGTCAATGTACTAAGATCGAACCGCAACAACAGGAAAAGGAACAAGCACAACATCCGTATTTTCTAAATAATTCACCAAAGATTGAAATCCTAGCTATACTGATAAATATATGGATATACAGTATTCATACGTGCATGTTGTCAAAATGCATCATTCTGTTTGGGAAGCCGATGACAACATGCAGCTTATGCATAATAACAAATCTGAAATCAGAAGTTTCATAAAGACAACAGTGATGCAGTTTCATCTGTTGTTTTCAATCCGTCTTCCACAGAAGGAAATAATTTGGTCTGACTTCTACATTTATCACTGGCTTCATTGCACGATCTCGCATTTCTTGTGCTTGCTTCTCAGAGCTCCTCTGTGCTTCGCAACTGAGCGGAGCTGCACACAGTGTAAAACAGGCTGAAAACTAATGATGGTGAAGAGGGCTGCAGAGCTGAGTGCACCGGAGCCACGTGCAGTGTAAATTCGGGTAGAAACTGTCCAGCCTACAAAGGAATCTGATTTCAGCTGCTTGTATCCAGGATCCGTTCTTTCAGTCATGATCCAAATCTCATGACCATTGGTGAGGCTTGGAGCATAGATGGACCAGTAAACTTTGAGCTTTGCCTTTCAACACAACTCTTCCCTGAAACAACATCCTCATCTTTAGATTTATTGTTTTTTGTGTATAGTGCTCTGAGAAAACGTTTGTTGTGATTTGGCACTATGTAACTGAACTGAACTGAATTACAGAGATAAGACCCTGATCTGTGGATTCATCTCTGGCACTTTCCTATCATCACTTGTGAAAAAAGTTCCTAGATACACAAACACCTCCACTTAAGGCAGAGACATATTCCCAACCCTGAGGCAACACCTTCCACCTTCTTCCGTTTCAGAACCATGACCTTGGATTTAGAGGAGCTTACTATAACTATAAGTAAGCTACTACGTAGCTTATTTATCTATGGCTGCCACGATTAGTCACAATTATGTCGACTATTAAAATCATCAATGGTTAATTTAATAGTCGATGCGTCATTTTTTTCTAAATGTTTTTTTATCCCCGAACTGTTGCAGCACATTCCACTGCCACGTCTGCCTGTCTGTCCTTGACACACCCACTAATCGAAAAAAATAATTGTGATTAGTCGGCTATAAAAATATTAATTTGTGGCAGCCCTAGTTACCACTACTGTGCATGTGTGACAAAGGCAGAAAGGCAGACGCGGCAGTGGAAGGTGCCGCAGCAGTTTGGAAAGAAAAACAAAGTAGTTGTTGATGATTTTAATAGTCGACATAATCGTGACTTGTTGACTAATCGTGGCAGCCCTACTCTCATCCTAGTCATTTTACACTTGGCTGTTAACTGACCCGTGCTGAAAGTCATGGTCTGAAGACATCAACAAAACCACATCATCTGCAAAAAGCAGAGATGAGAATCTGAGGTTTCCAAACCAGACATGCTCCTCTACAGGACTGCACCTTGAGAAATCTTTCCATCTTTTTTCAAATCTGTGCTGACAAGAATGCTGATTTTAGTTGAATATTAATATTTTTCTAATGCCATTTTCAAAACAATAGCTGACAAAAGCTTGCCGTCATCTGACAGAAAAGGGAAAAAGGGCAATAATTATTTTGTCCAAGCCTCTGAGTGTGTATCTGTGTGTTAATAAAATGTCTCAAACCACTGGACTGATTTTAATGAAACTCTTAAAAAGTAATTTAAAGTGTCTGTGATGGCAAATTTCTGTGATACATACAAATGCCTTCACAGAAAGATAACAGTAATAACGTATTGCAAAAAGAAAGTTTACACCGCTGGGTTGGAAGTTGTTGAGATAGGGGAACACCTGCACGTAAACAGAACGTTGCTACAGTGGCTAACAACACAGACTGTAGTGAAAAGTCTCTTTAAAAGTTCTTTAGCTTATTTTGAGTCACTATTTTCTATTAATTCATATAATGTTAATACAATAAACAAAGAACAAGAAGTTCCCTTGTTTAAAGAGTTTCCCCTTTTCCCCATCACTTCCTGTTACACTTTGGTCGTGCTGAGTTCCAGAAACATATGTCAGTTATGTGACAAAAGTGTAAAATCATATGTTTTATGCTAAATGTCTTTAACATTAAGATATTTTTTCCTTTCACTTTTTGTATTAGTGCAGACTTTAATGAAATGTAATCGCTGGCTGTACATCTATAACTGATTAACTTTATGGATCAGCTCAATTTAAGCCAGCTGCCATTGCTAATAAACACTACCGAGAGTGATCCTCAACACATACCCTGAGTGCAGTAGTAGGCAAAGTTCTGCTAACCCGCTAAGAGCTGAACAATTTTTTATTAAGCAGTTCAGCACTTGCATTAACTATTATTAACAGACTCCACTTCTACCAATATAAATACCAATTCTTTACTGTTCTGCTAATAACATGAGCATGAGTGAGAGGTCTGAGCCAAGAAATAACCTGAGCGCTGGTGCAGGGCATTATTCTTATTGACACAAGGTGGACATTAATATGTTAAATATTAGCAGTTTAGCATTAGCTTCTACCAATATATTTGTTGTTGGGTCAGTGAAGCTAACATTTTGGTTAGCTATGCCCACTACTGCCTAATTTTTATCTCATCTTGCAAGTTATTTTAAGGTTTGACACAAATGGCTACAATTCTGTTCCGTCATATCATAAGATCTTGGTTTAAAACTTTGGCATGAAAGGTGGCGGGCAATGTGCATTCCTTCAAAAAATGTTAGGCCTTTCATATTTATAATAAAATTATGTGGTTTCTGCCTTTTATAATAGCACATAGAGTTGTTATATGAGGCTTGTTATGTTGGTGATGTTTGGATGTAGAAGACTGAGGATCTCTGCTCTCGTATGTTGAATGTTTGTGTTTTTATACTGAATGTTTCCCTGTCTGTTTTGCTTTAGTCACTTTGGGACGTTAAAGTAAAAAGTTTATGTGTTATGTGAACTTGGAGGCACCAAAGAAACTTATAATAATTGACTAAACAGACAAAGAAAATACTGGAATAATTACAAGGCTTTAGCCAAAAGAACACGCCTGCATTGAATGGGATTTGTTTCATGCGAGAGAGAAAAAAAAAAAATCTAAAGCCCAGATTGTCATTGTATAATTCACACCCTGATACACAGCTTGTGTGTTCCAAACAATAAAACTATGACACAGTTTCAGGAGTACATACCCAGTTCATCTGCATGTTCTGAAACTCCAAGCCAAAGTAATCACTCTCGATGAGGTTACCTCTGTGGAAAACCTCAGAGAGAAGGGTCTGTCCAAGAGATTTGGGCTGAAAAAGGAAGAAAAAATAAACAGAATGTCATTAAAAGAATGTCTCATAGATGTTCAATGTTCTGCTATAGTGTGTTTCAAGCCTCTAAAGCAGCATTCTAAATATTGAAAAAATAGAACAGCAAGAGACCATCATGGACAACAAATCTTTACTGTAACTGAGGAGAGGATGACCATGGTCACATTCAAACTGAACTCTGGGTCAACGCCATCTGTCTGTGGTGCAGAAAATATTTGCCATCTGCAAATGATCCACTTCATTGTGTTTTATGGTTGCGTTACGTCCCATCTGTCAAATCAAATCACTGCCTTTACGTAAATGAAGAGCTGGTGAGCTGAAGAAACATTCTCTGTGCCGCGTCGCCGACAGGCCCAGAGCAAAGAGCAGGAAGACTCTGCAGCAGTTCACCTTCTCAGCGCTCTGGGGTTTGTTTTCACTAAATGAAGAACTAATTACTATGTACTAAGAACGTACTGCACTTGAGGTTTGGAAACTCACTCTGTGACTTTTTCAGAAAATTATAGCCTCAAACATCTGGTTGTAATGTGAAATTGTATTTTTAAAAGCCTTATAAAAAGAACTGTTCTGCATCGGTTAAAGTAAAGCATCACAACCCAGAGCACCAAGAGATTTACTGTAGTTGATCTTTTCATTCCTTTGGTCCAATCACAAGGTTTACATTAAAAAAAACTATAAAATGTAGATGAACTCTACTGACAACATCTACAACTGCAGGAATCTGTTGTAAAATGCTTCTTCTTGCACATATTTACAGTATCAGATTACAGCTGAAGTCAAACTGAGAACAAAGCCCGTGTGGTAAAATACTTTGGCTTGCCTTTGAGTACAAGCCAAACATGCAATCCAGACATCAGAAAGTATTCTGCAGGAATCAGTCAACATTTGGAGGCATTTTGTCAGTCTGGCTGCTATTTCAGCAGAGATTTAATGCAGCCATTCAATGATCTCTAGGCAAATGGAGAATATTGTTAACACTATCACAACATAACTGTAGTTTTCACTTGTTTTAGTTGACTTAAAGAGTTATTTTGGACATTTGAAAGAAAGATCTGTGGAAAGGTTAAGAACAAATAATATCTTAATGCTGTAGCTTTTTGAATGGCCTGGGTTTGGAAAAACAAAGTTTAATTCTGACCGGACTGATGAGCAAATAGCTAGTCCAAAACAACTAATTCCCTAACTATACTAAAAATTACCATTGATATTTGAAAAACCTCACATCTGTTCTGCTCCACTCCCTGATCACTTCCTGTTTCAATTAAATGGCTAACATTCCTCTGAAGGAATGCATATTCATGACAAGAGTTTTAGACATCATCTTGGATCACAAACGCCTGCAGAGAGTGGTGAGGACTGCTGAGAAGATCACCAGGACTCCATTGGCCTCCATACCTTTGCAGAGTCCCCAGGAAGGACCCCTCCATCCTCGGTTATAGTCGCACAGGGCTCAGTCGACAGTCCACACACCATCACAACAGGTATAGGCGTTTATACTTGATGCTTACGTTGTTGTAGTATTCTCAAATGATATACTTGGTATAATATACTTTTGAAATTGTATTGATTATTTATCCAAGTTGATTTTATTTCTACAGCACTTCAAACCAACAAGGCTGACCAAAGGGCTTTACAAGATGGTTAAAAACAAACTGGAAAAGCCAAAAATAAGTACTATAAAAACAATTAAACCAACAAGACCCTGTGATGGATTGCAAACTGTCCAGGTTGTATGTTGCCTCTCACAGCAGGAACAATGGAGCAAAATATGAAAACCAACTAATATAATAAAATAGATTAAAAAAATCAAACAAACAAAATGGAAATATTTTTTATTTTTTATGTCATCTGTTGTTTATGTCATCTATGATAAACAGCGGGTAAAATAAGTATTGAACACGTCACCATTTTTCTCAGTAAATATATTACTAGAGGTGCTAATGACATGAAATTTTCACCAGATGTCGGTAACAACCCAAGTGATCCATACATACAAAGAAATCAAACCATAAATGTCCAGAAATGAAGTTATTTGTAATAATGTGGAATGGCACAGGGAAAAAGTATTGAACACACTTACTGAAATTTATCTAATACTTTGTACAAAAGCCTTTGTTGTCAATGACAGCTTCAAGACGCCTCCTGTATGGAGAAACTAGTGGCATGCATTGCTCAGGTGTGATTTTGGCCCATTCTTCCACACAAACAGTCTTCAAATCTTGAAGGTTTCATGGACCTCTTCTATGAACTCTGATCTTTAGTTCTTTCCATAGATTTTCTGTTGGATTCAGGTCAGGTGATTGGCTGGGCCATTCCAGCAGCTTTAGTTTCTTTCTCTGAAACCAACTGAGAGTTTCCTTGGCTTTGTGTTTGGGCTCATTGTCTTGCTGAAATGTCCAGCCACGTTTCATCTTCATCATCCTGGTAGATGGAAGCAGATTTTTATCAAGAATGTCTCTGTACATTTTTCCATTCATCCTTCCTTCAATTATTTGAAGTTTGCCAGTACCATATGCTGAAAAACAGCCCCACACCATGATGTTCCCACCTCCAAACTTCACTGTTGGTATGGTGTTTTGGGCTGATGTGCAGAGCCATTTGACCTCCAAACATGATGTGTATTCTGGCATCCAAACAGTTCAATGTTGACCTCATCTGAACAGACTATATTCTCCCAGTATTACACAGGCTTGTTTAAATGTTGTGCAGCAAACTTTAAAGGAGCTTCARCATGCTGTTTCTTCAGCAGTGGAGTCTTGCGTGGTGAGCGTGCATACAAGCCATGGTGGTTCAGCGCATTACTTACTGTTTTCTTTGAAACAATTGTACCTGCTAATTCCAGGTCTTTCTGAAGCTCTCCACAAGTGGTCCTTGGCTCTTGGACAACTCYTCTGATAATTCTTTTCACTCCTCTGTCAGAAATCTTGTGAGGAGCACCTTGAGAAGTTTAGACATTCTTCTGTAACCGATGCCATCATTATGCTTTGCAGCAATAAGGTTGTGAAGGTCTTGAGAGAGCTCTTTACTTTTACCCATCATCAGATGGTTCTTGTGTGATACCTGGCCATCATTTGGGACTGAACCAGCTGATATTAACTGGCACTGACAAGGGGCAGGCTTGCTTTCTAATTACTGAGAGAGTTCAGCTGGTGTCTTGGCTTTCCATGCCTTTTTACACCTCCCTTTCTTCATGTGTTCAATACTTTTTCCCTGTGCCATTCCACATTATTACAAATAACTTCATTTCTGGACATTTATGGTTTGATTTCTTTGTATGTATGGATCACTTGGGTTGTTACCGACATCTGGTGAAAATTTTATGTCATTAGCACCTCTAGTAATATATTTACTGAGAAAAATGGTGACGTGTTCAATACTTATTTTACCTGCTGTAAATAGCTAATGGCACAAAAAATAACAATAGTATGCTCAGGGTATTTGTATTGTCAATATAAGTTTGTTTTATGTGCTACTAGCAAAGTTTGTGTACTTAAATCAGTAATTGTGGGGATTACAAGCCTCTTACAGCTGTTATTTTTTAGGTTGAAAGCACACTTCGTAACAAACCTTTACACCGCCAACAATTCCACAGATTTATTTAAACAAAAATTCCTGATACAAGGACTCTCTGGCTGAACCATGTACCACTTTAACAATTTTGAAGATTGGAGCCATTTCAGTATGGCAGCAATCCACTTTGATCTCAGACCTGTTTAAACCAGCTGCAACGTCACCAGTAGAATTAAAATTAAACCATTTCTCAAAACTGAAACAAAGCAAAGAGCCATCTTCAACAGGTAAGCTGGTAAATGTTTATAACATTTTCATAAAAACCCATTCAAAAAACTTTTTAGTACATTTTTGTAGCCTTTCATTGAGGCTATTGTTTGCCACATTCTGTAAAAATCAAAGTGTAGACTTAACAACACAAATAGCTTAAACTAAAAATAGTTTGTTTCACTATAACTCAGCCTTTTACTTAACTGGAAAAACAAACCCCACAAAACAGGAATTTCTGGTTCGACAGTAAACCAGAACCCATCTACGATTTGAAATAATTATTTTTTGAAGTCATGTTTACATAACACCATTTTTTAAGTAAACTAAAACATTTCTGTTGAATTTGGCTGTTGGTGTACATGGAAACAGATATATTCTGTGATGACGAAACTCGCTGAAATCCAGCTGCAGTCAACAGTTTTTCTGCTCTTGACGAGTACATAAACAACAGTAACAATTGCAGATAAATCAGAGCTTCTGACAAGAAATATATGTAGGTATGTGCAACATTATCTATTGGGTCAGCAGAGACACATTTCTCCTGTTTTACAAATACTGAATGGACCTGTAACTGTTTCCATGCTGAAAACTAAGTGTCTGTTGGAATGTGCGTGAAAACAGCCAGCTAGTGACCTGGCATTGAAACTACTTCAAATTCAACATTTTTTGCAGCCTTGTCTAAACAGCAATCACTGCTGTGTGAACTTGTAGTTTCCAGGAGATTGTTCATTTGTAAAGAAAGTTTTTGTGTATTTGTTACAAACTCCTTGACTCATCAACACACAGCACGAAAGTTAAACTGCATGCAAAAAAATAAATAAATAAAAATCCTGACTGGTGCGATAGAAAGATCAAACACCTTCACAGAACACTAATGTTATAAAGCTAATTTTGTAAATTACATTTCCATTCACCTACAGAAAAATACAGGCAGCATGATGACTCCTAGTCCTAACAAGTAGAGGCTGCAAAATATATTATTTTAGCATTAAAATATTGATGTGCATGTGCAATAGCCATGTCATAAATTAAGCACATCATCTTTCTATTCTAAGTTCACCCCAGTTTGGGATAAGTGCTAATTAGCTACAGCTCAGGCCTCGCTAACCTCACACTGTAATTAATGCATCATGAGATCCAAGTGATGATACAAACCTCACCCCACCCATTTTTTCACAGGCTGGTTAAAGGTCTGTGAA